TTTTTTTAAACTTTAAAAAATTTTTATACTATATATAAATTGATATAAAAAATATTTTATTTAATAGATAAAATATAACTTAAATAATAAAAAAAAAGTTATTAACTAATAATTAAATATTTTAAATATTTTTTATAAATTTACAAATTGATAAGAAAAAATATTTAATTAAAATATAATAAATTTATTTTAATAATCTAATATTATAGTATATATAATCTTAAAAAAAAAAAAAAAAAATATTATTATATAACTTTTTAAATTATTTTATAATATATAATATATCAGAAATGATGATATTACCTATATATAGATTTATTGTAACTTAAGAGAAAAGTCAAAACAAGTTGTAAACTAGTTACGATATGGCTTATCTCAATGCTTAGAATTGATACTACATCTCTAGATAATACCACTTATCTGTTATATACGATAGGTTTTTTTATTAAGTACTTGGCAGCAACTTCGAAATCTATACAGATTCCCATTCCGAACAAAAATTGTCGCTGAAATTTGGGGTCTCGATTTGAAACTATAAACCTGCTAAAATCCACATATACTCTTTAAATATCAAATCTAGCCTTAAACTCTAACCTAACCCTAAAAAAAAATCGTACGAAACACCCCCAAAAAAATTTTAAAATTTTATATCAAAATAAGTCCAAATTTCAGCATCAGCCGCGACAAAAATTAAATGATGGACAGTCAGGCAAAGAATACTCATCCTAAGAAGGTTCTCATTCTAGTCAAAATGAATTTTCTGAAGATTCTCATTCAGAACAAAAAAAAATTAAATGATGGACATTCAGGCAAAGAATACTCATCCTAAGAAGGTTCTCATTCTAGTCAAAATGAATTTTCTGAAGAAGATTCTCATTCAGAACAAAAAAAAATTAAATGATGGACATTCAGGCAAAGAATACTCATCCGAATAAGGTTCTCATTCTAGTTAAAATGAATCAAAGTGAGCTTAAATTAGCGGTATCGGTATTAGTGTTGGTTTCATCCTTAATTCGATTTAATTCGGCACGATTAAGAAGGTTAGCGCTAATTCAGCTAGTATAAAAATAATTGAAAATGCTTAAAGTATTTTTATATCCAAGCTCAAGGTTTTATTTTGTAATTTTTAACATTTTTATTTTTTTTTTAATATACATATTTTTGATTATATTTCTGAACTTTAAATTTGAACCATTTTAATCTAATAAATAATAATACGGATTATAAATATTATTAATTGCTTATTAATAAGAAATAAAATGTTTCTTATCTCTTAAACACATTATATATCGTATACAAATAATTTAAATTTGTTGAATTTTTTTTTTGTGAATTCGATTGAATTAAATATCTTAATATAATATATAATAAAAATTAAAATGTTAGTATTGAGGATTCCTTTGCCTTTATATATTCATTATAAAATTTTTTAATACATGGAGAGATTGATATTCTACTACGTCAGCTATATTTTTTATAGGCGATACGTTGGCTATAAGCCCGAAATCTGGTTTTCTTTTGGGACGCTCATTCTTAAATATTTGATATAAATTTAATATTTTAACTACCGGTAATAGAACTGATTATTATTTCAGAGTTAGTTAATAATGTATAATTAAAACTACTTGTTACAAATACAATAATTTTTGTTATTTTTAATCGTTGTATTAATGCTATACAGATTAGATGATTAAGCCGACTAAATTTTACAACTTACATAATAGCCGTATTATTTTTATCATTGAATAATAGAATTACAGGAAAGCCTAAATGAATTAATGAAATTATAAAATATGCAAAGTGATGCTATTAACGAATGTTTTTTTTTTTTTTATGAAAATTATTGACATTACGAAAATATTTAATGCAATTTAATGAATAATCTATGACTTCAAAATAAACCTTCATTTTGAGCTCATTTGAATTATTAATTCCATGTTTCTTTCCAACACCTAAAGAAAATAAATGAATATATTTTACAGTATGTATAAAAATGAATCTCAAAGTAAATATTTTACTCACACTTTCCAATTGTGCTTCCAATGTTTTGATCTTTTTATCTGATTCTCGTTTCGAAGATGCTAACTGATCTTTATCATTTATAGCATTTAAGTATCCAATCTGTACTTCTGATAATTTTTCATTCAGCCTGGCACATTCAGATTTCGACAATTTTAAAGAATTCTCCAATTCGATTATTCGTTGTTCTAAAGATAATGGTTTCATTGTCTCAGTAATAGTATTATTATTCAAAGTCTCTATATCAGACAATCGCATATCATTAGTTTCGAGCGGTGTTTCTGTATCATCACTTTTGAACGATCCAATGCTTCCTAAAATATTTTGACGAAGTTGATCCTTTTCTTGTTGAGCAGTATTAAGTTTATTCATAAGATTTGCGCAAGTTTTTTCTGATTGAACCATCGATTTTTCAAAAGTTTGTATTATCTTTCGTTGTTCAACATCAGTTTCAGCTAATTTTTTTGTAAGTGTTGCTATCTGAGCTTTATTTTTATCTAAAAGTTTCTTAGAATCGGTTAGCTGATTTGTTAATTTTAATTTATCATCAGTTAATTTCGTCAATTTAGATCCAAATTTTTTCTTTTCAGATTCCAATTCACGAATCCGTACATCTACTAACATCTTTTCTTTACCAACTTCTATTAATTTTTGTTTCATTGTTTGTTTATCAATTAATGTAATATTTAATTCTTGTTTTAAAGATTTCACTTCAGATTCAGACTTTTTCAATGCATTATTTATTGTTGTTTGATGATCAACAAGTTCGGCCTCACGTTGTTGCCACTCTTCCCTTTCAGCAGCCATTCCTTTCATAAACATTTGAACACTATTTTGTTGATCGACAAATATTTTTGATAATGCACTCTTTTGATTTTCTACAGCTTGTAATTTATCGGTAATTTCTTCTATTTTACTAGAATTTAATTTTAATCTATCTTGCTCTTGTCTTAATTCAGTTATTTGAGTTTCTAAAGAAATTCTATTTATTTCAGATTCTTGAAATGATAATTTAAGTTTTTGATATTCTTTTTCCCATTGTATTTTCATTATACTAATTAATCCAGCTAATTTATCACGTTC